CCACTCATGGTGCCCCCGTGTGTGTGTCACAGGAGAACTGTGCTCACAGGGTTCTCAGTGGATGATGTTTCATAAGTAGATCCCACTCATGGTGCCCCCGTGTTTGTCAGAGTAGAACTGTGCTCCACACGGTTCTCAGTGGATGATTTTTCATAAGTAGATCCCACTCATGGTGTCCCCGTGTGTGTCACAGGAGAACTGTGTTCACAGGGTTCTCAGTGGATGATGTTTCATAAGTAGATCCCACTCATGGTGCCCCCGTGTTTGTCAGAGTAGAATTGTGTCCACAGGGTTCTCAGTGGATGATTTTTCATAAGTAGATTGCCAGGAGTTTCTTCTGAGATACGTCTAGGTGGACCTGAACCTCTAACTTCTTGGTGAGCAGCTGAGTGTGTCCACTCTCTCTGCCACCCAGGGACTCAGTGACCCAATTCGAGCTCATAGGTCTGTCGGTGGTTGTCTTGATGGAAGCCGACAGCCAGGACTTTCTTCCATGGCTCTGCCAACCTTCAGGTCAGTTGCTGAGTGAGTTGTCCCTTGTTGCCTTTTTTCGGCATGTCCTATTGTCCAGGGGTCTGCAACAAGCAGGGCTCACTTTCATGCGGGCTGGCAGTTTGCTTGTTTCTTGACAGGGTACGGAGTTGAGTGAGATTCTCAGTAAGAGGGGTCTTTCTCATCCCTGCACACATCCCCACCACGCCTCCGCAGCGACATGCTTGGAGTCCCGGCTCCCGGAGGGCAGCTGTAACGTACTGTCATTTGTGCCCAGTTGGGTTTCCGGGTGCCCAGTGCAATCTCTGCCTGACCGAGCTCACTTGTCTGGAGTGCCCGGGGCTGCACACCCGTCAATCGGCTCCTATTGCTATTATTTTAGGTCTGGGATATAAATCTCGTCAGGGTTACCTCCTCACTGAGCCGCATAATTGCAGACAAGAATCTATTCTTAGCAAAAATCTTGCTTTGACAGATTAATATGGCTTAACTGTGTGGATGATGACACAGGGATTAGCCCCTTCACTACAATCCTGCTCTCTGAGGGGCTTTACAAAGGGCAGGTGGTTCCCTCAAATCACAGGCTGACAGGTGTTTGAATCTGAAGCGGTGGCTGCAGTGGGGCGGCCAGGGCTCAGGCTGCGTGAGGGAGGCCAGGTCACCCTGGCTTTCAGAGCCAGCCCCCTGTTTGGAAGGTCATTTCAGTCCCAGGGCCAAGGATGTGGCAGCAAGGGCTGCGGATAGCATGGTACTATTTCCTGAGCCCCTTCTGTGCCCTGTTGGTGAGGATGGGCAGACTCAGCTCTCTTACACAAACCCTTTATCAGGAAAGCCCGGTTGCTGGCCAGGTCACCAGGGTTGATGAACTAGAGGGTCAGAACAAACAAAGGAGACCCCATTGGGAGGGAAGGCATGGTGGCCAACAATGGACTGTAACATTATCAGGAAGCGTAGGCAGCACAGGGTGGACGCCAGCTAACACCACCACTCAGGACGGGGCGGGGGCTCTGTTCTTAGCTGCCATATACCGAGAGCAGAGCCGGGTGCGTGACAGACCCTCGTACGTATTTGTGGAGTAGCCTGCAAGACAGGCACGTACCTCATTCCATTCTGCAGATGAAATTGAGTGCCAGGGAGGTGGAGCAGTGGGTTCTGCAGCTCCCTGCAGCCTCACCTGAGAGGGGCTGGGTGATGGGAACCACCATAGAGTCCAACACGGGAGCATCTGGGCAGGGTTTCCACGGGTGAGTAGGAGTGTGAGAGGGGGAGGGCCCACAGGAAGAGGTGTGCTTGCCCCCTCCCCCCACGGGGACTTCACTTCCACTCTGTTCTCAGTGACTTATCCACCATCACACAGTGGGGCAGGGTGAGATTGTTGCTCCAAGGGTCTCTGGACCCTCCCCAGCCCAGATCAGGGGCCTCCATGGTGTACAAGGAGCGAGGCCTGGGAGAGGGGGTCCTGCCTCATCCAGACCCTGGGGACCCCTCGAGCCTCTTCACTCAGCACTCCCTGCATGCTGGCCTCGGGGGGGGGGGGGTGGTGGTATGAGACCAGGCCCCCAAACTCTCTAACCTGCCTCCCACCCACACAGGCCGGAGACTAGGGAGCATCCTCAGGCAGCCAAGGTCCACTCTTGTCCCCTGTGAAGCGGTGTCCCTGGGTCAGCAAGTGGTCCTGGGATCATGGGGTTGGGGTCCTGGCCCTGACCATCACTTCTGAGGAAGGTCAGAGACCAGTGCTCGCTCCCTTGGAGGACACTTCCTTCCACAGTGTCTGCTGGTCCAGGAGGGAGGCTGCCAGACGCAGACAGCAGGGACCTAGCCGAGCTCGTCCTCCAGCAGACCTGGACACTAAGTGATTGTGGTGTGGAGCACCTGGTTTCTCCCTGACCAATTCCCAGTAAGGGGCTCCTGCCTCCCCACAGTGCTGGCGTGTGTGCCCCTCTTAGAGGGTCCTTCACATGTGACTTACGGCCCCCAGAGCCCAGCACTCACCGGCTTGCAGTTGGTGGGCTTCCCATTCATGTCCATGCTGGGTGGCCTCAGGTGGCCCCAGTCTCGGCCCTTGTTGTATGTAATTAGTGTCATCACCTTCCCGTCGAGTTTTTGGTTCGCCAGGAAGACGCCTTTCACCCCCCGGACCTGGGACAGAGACGGTAGAGGGCTGGTGGGCGTCTCCTGAGCTCGCAGCGGAGCACCTGCCTACACCAGTTCCATGTCCAGTGGTTCGTCACACAGGTTCACAGACCCTCACACCAACCCCGCTCCCCAGCCTGAGCTCAGGCCTCCCCTCACACCACCAGGTGGCTTTGGCCCCAAGGCAAGGGGGGCCCAACCCACAGAGGCACAGAGAGAGGGAGGGGCCGGTACAGAGAGTGAGCTGGGGGAGAGACAGAAACAGGGATAAAGACAGAGACAGAGAGAGACAGGGACAGACAGAGTGATCTGGGGGCGGGGGGCGCAGAGAGAGGGAGAGAGTACTGGAGAACAACTGTGTTAGGGGGGCTGGCACGGTCCCAGGTACACCTGTGCGGCCACCCACTGTGCCCACCTCGAGGATGTCGACCAGCACGCTCTCCTCAGCCTGCCGGGAACTGCGCACGTGCTCCAACACCAGTGAGTAGCGGTCACCACGCGGGTCTGACAGATACAGGTTGTACGTGTCCACCTGATGCCACTCCTGAACCGCCACGAACACCTGGTTCTCGTCCGTGCTGATGACCTGCAGGTCCTGGGGGGACAGTGGGGGTCAGGGTGGACAGGAGTGGGCCCTCGGTGAGGTGTGCAGGTCCTGGGGGGACAGTGGGGTCAGGGTGGATGGGAGTGGACACCCTGAGGAGTGTGCAGGTCCTGGGGGGACAGTGGGAGCCACAGAGGTAGTGGACCTCCTGTAGGGTGAGCAGGTCCTTGGGAGAACGCGGAGGTCAGCACAGGAGTGGGCCCCCTCTGGGATCTGCAGGTCCCGGGGCAAGGGGTGTGGGTCAGGGTGGATGCCAGCCCTGCCTTTGGAGGAATGCAGCGACCCGCACACACAAGGTTCAGGTTTCCCCCAAGTCCAGTTTAGACATCTTCCTGCATGGTTTTCAGCTTGCTTACTCACATTATATGGAGACCAGTTTCCTCCTCTGTCACTGACTTTAAACATCATTGTTGATGACCATAGGATGCTCTGTTTTGTGGACACATCGTATTTCAATTGACTGTTGGAACTTTATTTTTGTCAAATGCCATCACCTTGCTTCTGACCCACAGTGGCCCTGTGTACAACTTGGTTCTGACCCACAGTGACCCTGTGTACAACTTGGTTCTGACCCACAGTGGCCCTGTGTACAACAGAACAAAACGCAGCCCGGTCCTGCACCCACCTCACAGTTGATGCTGTGTTTGAGCCTGTCACTGCTGCCCCTGTGTCAGTCCGTCTCGTTGGGGGTCTTCCTCTTTTTCACTGACCCTCTACGTTACCAAGCGTCATGACGTTCTCCAGGGACTGGTCCTTCCTGACAACATGTCCAAAGTACACGAGACAAAGTCTCACCATACTTCCTTCTAAAGAACATCTGGCTGGTTTGTTCCAACACAGACTGGTTTGTTCTCCTGGAAGTCCCGGATGTGTTCAATATTCTCCTCCAACACCATAACTGAAAGGCATCTATTCTTCCATCTTCCTTATTCACTGTCCAGCTTTTGCAGGCACATGAGGCAAATGAAAATACCATGGCTTGGGTCAGGCGCACCTTAGCCATCCAAGTGGCATCTTTGCTTTTTAGAAATTTAAAGAGATTGATGTTGTTGTTGGGCGCCATGGAGTCAGTACCAACTCATAGCAACCCTATGCACAACAGAACTGCCTGGCCAGGGCCAAACTCACAATCGTTGCTATGTTTGATCTCACGGTTGCTGTCACTGTGGCAATCCATCTTGTTGGGAGTCTTCCTGTTATTTGCCAACCCTCCGCTTCACCAAGCATGATGTCCTTCCCCAAGGACTGGTCCCTCCTGACAATATGTCCGTAGTATGAGAGACGAAGTTTGGCCATCCTGGCCTCTAAGGAGCACTCTGGCTGCACTTCTTCCAACACACATCTGTTGGTTCTCTTGGCAGCCCATGGCACTTTCAGTATTCTCCTCCAACACCAGAACTCAAATGTATCAGTTTTCTCTGGTCTTCCTTATTCACTGTCTGACTTTCACATGCATATGAGATTTTTGAAAATACCATGGCTTGAGTTAGGCGTACCTTAGGCCTCAAATTGACATCTTTGCGTTTCAACACTTTAAAAAGGTTTTGTGCCTCAGATTTGCCTAATGCAAGGTGTTGTTTGATTTTTTTTTTTTTAAGTTTTTATTGTGAGGTTTACATGGGAGAACACCAGCTTCACACTCATCCTATCATATTTTGTTTCATTGCAATGATTACAATCCCCTCCATGCATCATCAAACAACCCCAAAGGGTACACCACACAGGCCTGCCCCCCAGCCGCCAGCACACAGCCCTTCTCCCTCCCTGAGTTCAGTGTCCCCAGCCACTCCATCTGTCCACATCATCATCCCTGGTGTCACTGCCTCTCTGGGTAGGGTCCCGCTCTCCGTTCTTCTCACTTGATGGTCCCAGAGACCTCTGCTCCTGGGCTGCAAAATCCAGCACTCTCCTCCTTTTGTCAAAAAAGCATCTACCACTACATTTATGACCCTCACAGTCAGTCCTGATGGCAATTATTCACTATTGTCCCACAAGAGTCTTATCCCTATTTCCTTTAGCCAGCCTGGTCCCAACAGGTTGGAAATCATTCAGTGGAGATTCTACCTACCACTGCCCCATCTGGAACTAGGCTCCCTCTTGAAAGCTTATAAGCCAGTCACTTCTTGCCTTTATAGGTATTCCCATTTTGGGTAGCCAATGTCTACGTTGTCCATCCCTCGTTGTCTGATTTCTTGACATCTGCTTCCAGGAACCTTGATGGTTGATTTGAGCGATTTTCTGATTCCTTGACTGAGCTTCCATGGCCATTGATTGTTGATCCAACTGGAATGAAAGCCTTGAGCATCGAGTCTTTTCATCTACTGATTATTATACTCTTTACCTGATGAACAGGTGACTTAAGACACCTGAACACAAAGCAAGACCCCACCAGCTCACAGCAATCCTGCAGGACCGAGCAGAACTGCCCCTGGGGTCCCAAGGCTGTCATCTTTATGGGGGCAGCGGCCAATCACCAACCTTTCCATTGGCAGCTGAGTGCCCACAGCTAGATGAAAAACAGCTAGATGTTCTTGTTGTTAAGTGCCATCGAATCACCAACCTTCTGGTTAGCAGTCCCATGCTTAGGACCTTTTATCCCCTTTAAAGCAGGAAGAAAACCGGAAAACAGGATAAAATCCAAACTTGGCAAAGCTGTGCTGAAATTGCTGCTGTCAAGCTGGCTCCAACTCAGAGCGACTCTGGGTAGGGAGGGCTTCCAAGGAGTGGCTGGTGAATTTGAACCACCGATGTTGCAGCTAGCAGTCCAGTACTTATCCTACAGAGCCACTAACACTCTGTGCTAAAATGGGTCTATTCTAATTCCCAAAGCCCTGGTGGCTCTGTGGGGCAGGAATTCGGTGACTAACCACAAGGTCAGCAGTTCAAACCCACCAGCCGCTCTGGGAGAAAGATGAGACCGTCTGGTCCCATAAAGACTGACAATCCCATAAGCCCTCAGGAGCAGTTCTGTCTGTCCTGCAGGGGGCAGGAGTCAGAAACCACGCTAGGGAAGTGGACTGGGTTTGCTTGTTTCTAGGCAGCAGGGTGGTGGGTGCCACTTCTGCAAACACGTACCCCTTTGTGCAGAGACATCTTTTGACTTTAACCTGAATGAACTAACACCATGTGCACAGTCAGACACCCCTGCTGTGTGCACCTAGGAGGCCTGGAACAGTCGGAGCGTGGGCGCTTGCTTTAGCTCACAACAGCCCAGGCTCCTCAGTGGGTAGTACTGCGGCCATGAGCGTAGTTGTACAGTGTCGCAGTGGCACAATGCTACATCACCACGGCACGCCAGACACCAGGTGGCTCTCACTCCTCTCTCAGCAGGGGCTGTGGGCTGCTGGCTTTCAGGAGAGGTGGGGGCAGAGGAGGCTTGAGGAGTGGACCCCTCTTGGCTAATGTCTACGGTTTGTATGATGTTACTTGAGCGATTAACGACAAAGGAAATGGCAGAGATGCCTGCAGGGTGGAAACAGGCAAGAGTTACAAATTCACCATAAAACGGTTAAATCTGATTAGGCAATTCAATTAGCCAGGTCTGCCAGTTGCAGCTGGGAACCAGGATGTTCTGGCAAGTTCTCCCAGGTTTGGGGGAAAGAAGCAGGATTCTTCCTGGCAAGCTGAGACGAAGCTTGTGACATCCGCTGAGGCAGGGCTTGGGCTGGGAAAACCAGCTGACCTGGTCAATGTCCTCGGCATCCATCCTTACATCCTGGACAGCGCTCAGCCCCAAAGCCTCTGCTTCTGACTCCGATGTCTCAAGTGTCAGGTACGGGTCCCTCCTCCATGCTGCCTGGCTAGGACGCTGGAAGCTTCTCTTATGTTGTTGTCTTAGGAGTCCCCGGCCAGGAAGGAAGACCCACATGTCCTACCCTCTGGGGAGGGCCGGCCACGAGGAGACACTGAGCATCTCCTGCCCATCTCACACCTCCCTGGACCTACCTTTGCTGTAAGTGTTCATTTGGGGGGTCACTCGGGGCCACAGAGGCCAGACTGGTGACAATTTCAGGATGGCACAGCCAGACTATCCATGACCTTCCAACAGTACAGGGGCTGCCCAAGTCCTAGAGAGGAACAGGGGTCCGAGGCTGGACATCAGTCACGTGCCTCCTTCAGATATCAGGACAAAGGACAAAGATGCAGGACGCCTCAAGAGACTGAAGCCCCCAAGGTCACCATCCCCAAGGGTAGAGGAAGCTGAGTCCTCCACCCCCGCAGGGCGGCCAGCTACCTGTGCCAACACGAATCCATTAGCTTCTCATCTACCTACGCAGCCAAGCCTACAGTTAATCTAGACAGCTCCTTCTTCTTTTGACTTTCCTCTCCTCTCTCGCTCACTCATTCATCCACCTGTCAGTTGTTGTTAGATGCCCTGGAGTGGAGTCAATTTCAACTCGTACACTCCCTGCAACAAAGCTGAGCTGCCCCACGTTTCCCGCTGCCCCATGGCGTTTCCCGGCTGCCCCACGGCGCTTCCCGGCTGCCCCACGATGTTTCCCGGCTGCCCCACGGTGCTTCCCGGCTGCCCCACGGTGCTTCCCGGCTGCCCCACGGCGTTTCCCGGCTTGTGTTTTTTCCAGCAGCAGGTTCCATGGCCAGACTTTCCTCCCTCACAGTCGCCGGGTGGGTTTGAAGCACTGATCTTTCCATGAGCAGTCAGCTCCTCACTGTTGTACCACCAGCGTTTGTGAATTTATCCATCCGTGTGTGGTTTATTGTTTAAAACAAACAAAAAGCTTCGTGTCTTTCCCACTGTAGTCGCAGGAAGGTTGGAGGGTCCTGAACTTCACACCATCCTGGGCATCTGTCCCCTCACCTCCCCTACTCTGCCCCCAGCTTGTCCCCTCTGCCCTGCCTCCACCAGCAAAGCTGGAAATTCCTCTTTGCCCTTCCCAAACCCCCCCATCCTTGAACTTGTAGCTTCCCATGGCTGTCACTCAGAGGATCTGAGTCTGGCCCCCAATTGTCCTCTCTCCCTGCCCCTCAACGCACAAAGCTCTACCTAACTTTCTGCATCCCTCCACACCTCCACAGGGCAGGAGGCCAGCCAGCTGGACACAGCTTCATGTCAGCACCAAGCAGGGGTGTGATGGTCAGTAAATACATGTGGGAGGGAGGGGATCCACTCGGGGGAGGCAGGCAGAGAGTCCTGGACCAGGACTAGGGTCCTTTGGAATGAGCTGTGTGGCTGTAGCAGGTTACTCAACCTCTCTGAATCTGCCCACTTCCTCTGTAGAGGCCTCAGCAGCTTAGCAGGAGGGGAGGTGGGATGTTAGCACAAGGTGAGGCAGGATCTGGGCAGCTCCCAGGTCAGGTAGAGGAAGTACATTTATGGAGCGCCTACTGTTTGCCAGCTATGAGGGATGAAAAGGGGGGAGACTCAAGGACAGTGGGGAGGACAGGCCTTGGGGTCACTTGTAAGCAAGGTTCCCCATGGAAATGCCACCGTGTATGAGAGTTCTGGGAGTCAGACCAGACAGAGGTCCAGGGCAGTGGGAACCACTCGCATTGAGGCTGGAAAAGCCAAACTGTCAGAAGAGCGGTGAGTGAGCTCCTATCTCTCCTGACCCATGGCCAGCAGACACCTCGGACAGCCCTACTGTCCCTCCCACAAGCAGGCTCAGGGTCCAGTCCCAGGCCTGGTGGAACTGGGGAGCCCACCCTTACCTTGGGCAGTGCATACTTGGGGAGCTTCATCAGGACAAACGCATTTCGACGATAGGAGACGTAGTACTTGCTCCGGTTACCTGCGGTCACCTAACAGCAGGGAAGAAACGTGCATCAAACCAGGTCCTCACAAATGAAAACTGCACATTGCATTTAGTTCATAGAAACGCCCTTTTACTTTGCTGCTATCTATTCTTCCTGAGCTGGGCAGACTCCTCTTCAGGCTTCAAAGCCCCAGAGTAAATGCCCTTCTTTTGTGAAATTATCTCCATTTCCCTCAGTTAGAACTGATCTGTGTTCCCCAAGATCTTCCAGAACCTTGTTTCCCTGGCCCTGAAGTGTAGAACTAGGTGGAGAAGATTCTATCCCCAAGATTCTATCTACCTTTAGGGAGAATGCTTTGGTGAGCCACTGGGCAGAGGAAGGGACACTTTGAACGTGTCTCATGGGACCACCAGATGGGATGCAAAGAAAACAACTTCAGTCCTCATCAGAATGAACTTTCTCATGATCCTAGTCACGCAGGAGAGGACAAGACTGTTTCAGAGGGGATGAGCCCCTCGTCAAGGGAAGAAATCAAGCAGCTATATGACAAAGAGCTTACTGACTGAGCCACGTGGTTTCTGAGGGTGACCTCACTCAAGACCACTCCCTCCCTGAGAGCATGGGGTACAGCCAGCAGAGTCCAGGTGGCTGGGAGGTGGGCAGCTGGTGCCAGGTGGCCAGAGACCATAAACAGCCCCAGTCAGGTCTGATATCACCAAAACCAAATGAGGCAAAATGGGCTTGGGATCAGGGATTCCAGGTTGGGAGTGGGGATGGGGTGGGCAGAGGATGACGGAGCCAGCTTTGGGGGGACACCAAGGAGGTAAAGTAGCTGTGTGAGGGCTGCCTGGGGGCCGCACCTTGAAGAAGCCATAGTCGTCTTGCACGGTCAGGGAGCCCTGGTCAATGGTGCCCGTGAACGGTGTGACTGGCGTCTTCTCGGAGCAGTTGTGGATCTGGCAAGTGATGTAGCGGAAACCTGAGGAGACAACAGCAGTGATCTGGCGCATGAGACATCAGCTGCCCCGAGTCCAGCTGAAGCCACAGCCAGGACCAGCCCTGGACACAGCCTGCCTACCCCAGCCCAGTGTGAAGCCGGTGGGCTTTGCTGCTGGGTTGGATCTGTGATCAAGGAGCTCTGCTGGTGCTGTGGGGGAAATGTTGGTCTGCTAATCACAAAGTGGGCAGTTCAAACCCACCAGCTGTCCCGGGGAGAAAACTGTGGCAATCTGCTTTGCTCAAGATGTACAGCTTCGGAACTCCTAGGGAGCAGTTCGACTCTGTCCTATCCGGCGACTGTGAGTTGGAATTGAATGGAAGGATCTTTTGGGCTCTGTGAGCACAACTCCAGCTCTGAGGGGCTTCAGGCACACAGCTTCAGTGTCCCCGCTTTACGGAGAGGGGCGGTACTGTGCCTACAGCAGAGGCTGAAAACTCCAGCCCTAGGGCGAGATCCAGTGTACACGAGCTCTGCTCAAATAGGCTTTTAATGACACGCAGCTCATTTATGCTCCGTCTGTGCTCCGTGGACGCTTTCCTGCAGGCTTGTGAGGCCTCCCCGCTCTCTATGGCATTAGATGAAGCCATCAGGGTCCTCTCCCTGCCTCTGCACTTGGGAAAATACCCAGAGCTCGGAGGCCAGAACAGATCACTAGGCCAGGGTTTATTGACTTCAGTTCTCCCCAGCTGAAGAACAAGGGCATTTACAAATATGCCTCATCGGTCAGCAGGCAGAGTGGCCACTGAGGACTGGAAACTAGGCAAGGACCAGCTAAGACTTGGTCATGGGAGGTGGGGGAGGCTCCTGGCCCCCTGGCTTACCTCCACCAGGATCTTGGGCTTCCATGTGGATCAGGTCAGCATCTCTGTCCACTCCAGCCACCGCCCTGGGAAAGAGCGGAAGGTGGGTGTCTGGAGGGGCCCACCTCATCTCAGGAGATGGGTGGAGCCTGCTCCTTCCTTGTGGAAACAAGGTCACACATGAGAAGACAAGTACAACAAGTGCCCGGGCCACAGAAGTGCACAGGGGCACTGGTGGTGCAATGGTTAAGATGCTAACTGAAAAGTCAGAGGTTCAAACCCACCAGCTCCGCCCAGAGAAAGAGCTAGTGGTCTGCTTCTATAAACACGCTGGTTGTTAGGCACCTTCGTGTCGTAGTGACGTTATGGACAACAGAACAAAACACTGGGCCGATGTCATCTTCACAGTTGTTGGTCTTACACAATTGCTGCGGCCACTGGGCCAATCCATCTCCCTCTTTTTCACTGGCCCTCTACCAAGCATGATGTCCTTCTCCTGGGACTGGACCCTCCTGAGGTCCGGCCATCCTTGGAAACCTAATGAGGCCACTCTGGTACACAGGGCAACTATGCATTCACAGAGGCTGAAGGTGACCAGTAAGTATCCACACCCTGAATTCAGACTCGCAGCCTCCAGCACTGGCAGGGAACACGGCTCTACCCTTTGACGCCCCCACCTGGTGGACTCACTGCCGGGGGGCTGGTGGGAGGTGGGGCTTTTCACTTGTAGTTAGGATGACAAGACTCAGGGTGACCAAGCCTGGTACCTCCATCTGCCTGGTCCCTCAGCCTCCAATTCACTCACTCACTCCCTTCCCACTCACCATCCATTCATTCACTCCCTCACTGATCCATTCATTTATTCACTCACTCATCCATTCATTCATTCAACCACT